ATATATGCACATACACACATAATGAAGGGTTTTTTGTGGGGGAGGGGTGCCAGGGATTGAACTCAGGGGCACTTGACCACTGAGCAAACCCCTACCCTATTTTATATATTATTAGAGACAGGATCTCACTGAGTTGCTTAGGGCCTCTTTAAATTGCTAAGGCTGGCTTTGAACTTGTGATCCTCATGCCTTCACCTCCAAAGCCACTGGGATTATAGGTGTGGGCCACCTCGCCCAGCCCATAATGGAGTTATATTCAGTCATAAATATTATGAATAATAAAATAAAAAGTTATTTGCATGAAAATGAAAGGAATTGGAAAACATCATGTTAAATGAAATAAGCCAGATACAAAAAGACAAGTATAGTATGTATAGTATGTATAGTATGTATAGTATGTATAGTATATATTTTCTCTTGTGTGTAGAATCTAGAAGAAAAGTTGTCATGAAAGTAGGAGGGAGAACCATTACAGTAGAGAAAAGGGATTAGAGGGATTAAGAAGGAAAGATTAAGAGGAGGTTTTTGGGGAGTGAAATAAATCAAATTATGTTATATACATGTACAACTATTACAAATGAAATCCATTATTCTATATAATTAATATGCACCAATGAATTTTTAAAATAAAATAATTCAAAATGCTTCTATATTATTTTATTAAATTTGTCTAGTTATATTTGGAAAATGATGTCTAGCATAGTTATGGCTTGCATAATAATTTTGCAGATCRCTTTTGATTAATATATAGACATTAAATTCTCATGTACTGAGAGTTTTCATCAATATRTATTGAATTTTATGATTTTTTGCTTGTGAAATAATCAAACTATTTTTTGCTTTTCTTTATAGATGTTTTTGTATTGATACATACTTATATTTCTACAAAAACTTTTACCCATGCATTATATAAATTGAAACTTTTAGATATTATGAAATGAATATATATATGTATATATATACATATATAATGAATATATACAAAATAAAATGAACATAATATATATTCACTTTATTTTCTTAATCATGAGTGAAATTGGCTGTCTTTGCATTTTTTCTTACATGTTTGCCAGATTTTAATAGATAGACATTATTAGTGTAAAAAAAATAAGGTCAGCAGTTTCCCTGTTTTTCTGATCTTTGTACCTGTATGGCATAAAGATTTGGAAATAATTTTCTTTGAGTCCTGTGATTCAACCACCAATCTTCCTACTTTGGTGCATTATGATATATTCCATGGTTTAGCATGATTTTCTATTTCTTCCTGAATGAATTTTCCCAATTTACTTTTTCTCATATCTGTCTACTTTATCCCTCTTTTGTAATTTTTCTTAGAGAATTTAAGGTTAGTAGATTTGGTGGGCAAAATTATAAGATGGTCCTCAGGACTAAGGCCTCCTGCTACTCATGCCCTGAGTGTGGGTGAAAACTATGAATATGACATTCCTCCTATGAATATGTTAACTATATGGAAAATTATTTTGTAAGTGTAACTAAGGACTCCAACCAGTTGCCCTTGTTTTAGCCAAACAGGAGAGTATCCTATGCTGTGCTGACCTAGTTTGATGGGACTTTGAAGGGATTTGAAGCAGCTTTTCTGTTGACCATGAAGGAGTGTGGTCATGCTATGAAGGAATGARTTAAAGGCCTCAGAAAGGCTTCTGAATGCTGAGAGACATCCTTGTTTGACACCTAACAAGAAAAATAGATACTTAAGTCCTACAGGAAGAATGAAATAAAAGCTGCTGCTACTACACTGATTTTGAACAACTCCCGATCCTAGATGAGATCATAGTCCCAGTCAATACCTTGATTTCAGCCTGGTAAACCCTAAACAGAGGATTTAAATTATCTGAAATTTGCACACTTGAACAGGGAAACTGTAAAGTGGTATATTGACGTAATTTCATGCCACTAAATATCAGCCTATGAAGTAGATGCCATTAGCACTTTATATCTATCTATCTATCTATCTATCTATMTATATATATATATGTATATATATAAATTTTCTGGAGGATTATAGAATTGTTATTTTTTATGTAGCAATAGAAAACTTATAACAATAGATAATGGTCAGAAAAAGATGGTTTTCACAACTTAAACACCCTTTAACTTCAAAATTCATATTCATAATTGTGCTACACTTCTTACTTTGTGATACTTGTTCCCAGTAATAGACATTTACCATATTTGTGGATCTGAAAAACTAAATTACAATAGAGTTCATTGAATTATTACCATTAAATTGAGGGCTTTGTCTCTTTTGTCTCACTGGCTATGGAATTCAATATATTGGACCCAGGTCATCTTTTATTGTCTTCATCTWTATTGTCTCCTTCTTATCTGCATATTTTCAATTTGGAGAAAGCGCTTTGTATGCATTTTTTAGTAAGCATAATGACTACTCTGTAAAAGAAGATAAAAATCATGAGGATCTAATTTTCCAAATTGTGCAAACCTTTATTCTTTTTGATAAATATRTTTTAAATACATTTCCCTCCTCTACCAAAAGTGGCTCAAAAATATTATCGTTATTTTATAAATTCACAGTCTGGTTTAAAAATAGTATTTTACCTTGAGTCATTATTCAATATTGCTGAAATTAACTTTTTAATGCTTCATGAAAAACCACTTTTAAAAAGAATGTCAAAATTTAAAATATGCTTCTAACACAAGTAGGGTACTGATGAGTAGACATAGTTGAACTCTGTTGTTTCTATTTTATACTCTTTCTTGTTTCCATCAACATTCATATATTTAATGTTTTTAAATATCTAAAAATATATTTTCTTTATTCTTTCATGTTTCCACTTTGTACAGATTCCATCATATTTACAGATCACTGCTATAATATCTAATATTTCAATGATATGTATACCCTGAAATTGTGATAATTTTCTATTAATTATTAAATACAAAATGCCAAAATTATTAGCTTTTATGAAATAAACATATTTAATGAGAAAGAAATATAACTGTTTTTTGATTCTCTGTATTACAGATACAGTAAAGTTAAAACCAGTATTTTTTTTTTGTGCTTTTGTCTTTAAAGAAGTGATTCATACCTATTAAAAAGTGAAATTTCAGATTAGAACTAAAGAGACATGACTTGCCCATCAGAATTTATTCCTGTTCTGCCCAGTCTATTCTGTTCTGGTCTCCACTGCTGAATGAGGCAGTTTTCCCCAGTTTCAGAGTCAGCATTTTCTTTTATGTTGAAGAAGAGTGTCCACTACAAATAGAAGGATGATAAAATTTTATCATTGCATTCAACATTTGCATATGTGCTCTTTTAGCATTTACCAAAAGTAAGCCAAACACAATTCATGAAATCTGAGGTACCTTACTCAGGGAATAAGAGCAATGTATGGAGCACAAAACATGTGAAATTGATGCAAAACCCCAGCAAATCATGTTTTGATTTTCCACTTTGAGTGGAAATTAATACACCTTGAGTGGATAATTAATACACTTTGCAGGAATGAAGCCCAATATTGACAGTAGTGTGCCTCTCATATCCCAGCTTTTCAGCTGCTTATATAGCATTGAAAACCATTTGGCCCCAGTAAGCCAAAACAGGGCACCAAATGAAACTTACATATTTGAAGTATCATAATTTAGGTGTACCATACATAAAGCATGCATTTTTTTTGTTCTTCTGATAATATGATGTTTCACTAAGTTTAAAATAAATTTGTTGTCTATAATGAGTAAAAGTAATAGACTCCATTTGAAATCTGAGTACTAACTAGTCTTTACATTATGTTTGCTTTTTTTTTTTTTGTTTATTCAACCAACATAACTTAAGCATGTATCCTGGAAATTTACAAGACACTGAGATGTATTAAACTAAGTCTCATTCTCAAGTCTCTTGGAACTCACGCTCCTCATATACCTGTTTATAACTGAATAGACTTTATTCACAAATGGAGAGACTGGGTTGATGTCATCTAGCATTGATCCTTGCAATATAAATGCAAGTGTGTAATTCAGCTTTTCTAGATATCACATTAAAMGAAATTTAAAAAGCAGGTAAAATTAGGTTTAATATTATTTTTGTTTCAAAATGTTTATCCTAACTATTGCTATTTTTACAGGTAAGTAAAAAGGTTGTAAATGTCATACTTGCCATTAGTTTTATTCACAGTGAATTTTCAAAATCCAATGTATATATATATTTTATTTAGAGCATATATCAGTACTAGCCATTTTCAATGCTCTCTAACCATTTAAATCTAGTTGTTACTTCTACTGAAAACTGAAGATGTAGATAACAACTATCATTGATTTTGGCATTTTTCATAATACTTTCTTTAGACTCTTAAACATAAATGCCTCAATTCTAATTTATCACAAAGACATATTCTTCAAAGTATTTTTATTTAGTAACTAACTATTGCTCTTCAGTAATTTGAGGTTTTTGTTTGTTTACCTAACACAGGAAAAACAAGACCTTTGTAATGTGAATAATATTGTTTTACATGAACTCTTTGTGTGAAATGTCATGCGAAATTTTACAGTTTAATTTACTATTATTACTGAAATTTATGTTACTTATTTGTCAGTAATATTATAAATATATTCAGAAGGCTCACTTTTTGTACTTTTATTTTTTTAACTTGTGATCTAGTTGCTAAGCTGCAAAAATAGTTCTTTAGTTTTGTTCATGTTAGTAACAATCACTTTATTAATATACTACTTTTTAAAAATTTTGGCAAGATGATAGTTATATATTGTGGTCATGATGTACAAAATGTTAATGTTGTATAGATTGTATTGACAAACTACAATATTTTTTTGAATTATATATAAARCAATGTGGTTCACATAAATTTCCATTGGAGTAAAACTCATTTGGGGAGAGAATAGATGTTTTATTAAAACTGAAAACAAGATTACAAATTGCCAGAGACATCAGAATAGCTAACAGTGATGACTGGATGATAGGTAATAACAATAAATAACTTAACAGTTTTATAATTTTCATACTCTCTTAGAGCTGCCATGCATGCCTGTCTGATTGGGAAGGAACTTTTTGTGAACAAGAAACCAATGAGTGCAAAAAGAATCCTTGTAAGAACAATTCCACCTGTACTGACCTTTACAAAAGCTATCGGTGAGTAATATATTTTTAGTTTTCTTCATGAAATTACTTGGACTGCTCAATGTCCTTGGGATGCATCCAGATACTATTTTCACTTTTCCATTTAATTAAAATAACCATCCAAAGATGAAGAGTCATTTCTTGACGTGACAGTGTCACATTAGCTTGAAATTTGCAAATACCAAAGTCCAGATGTCAAATCAGCAAAGGAATAAACAGATTTAGCTTGCAAAGGCAATTTGCAGATGTGGGCGTGTAACAGATGCATTTATTTCTTCAAAGTGTGTTTTTTCATCTCAGTGCTGTTGTGGACCATTCACACAATATGACAAGGAAGGAATGGGTCAATTGAATTAAAATATTCAGTCTGTTACCCAGATATTATCAGGAGTCTGTATTATTTTAGTAAAATTAGTGCCAAGTTTTACAACATAAATGATCATTGTCTTCTATAGTTGAATATTATTCAATACTAACAATTGACAAACAGATTGCATTGTTATTTAACTTGTACTTCTTGATTCATTCAGTAAATATCAGATCTCTCAAGTGTATGCAAGATCACAAGTATTATAATCAGAATGCGTTACTTCTAGTCATGGAGGCAAAAGAAAATAATAGATATAACAGGAAATAATATTATAATTAAATATAAATATACTCAAATGATTATTTTCCAGGGATTAATCAAAACAATCACAACATGTCCTGGGAAATAACTCATACACTTCCTTTTGCCCTATGATTACAGTTCAGAATTCTGGATTATACTAATTATTTAAAGATTTTCAAAATTTGTCCCTCAATTTTAGTGATTAAAGTAGAATATAAGACTAAGAATGTCAACAGTTAGGCAATTTACTTTATTAGAACAAAATTCTTACATAACTTACGATATAGTTGGATTGAAATTTTGAAGATAATAATAAATAAATGAATAATTTGGGTAACATGGAGACCCACAATGCTGATAGATGATATTAATTTAAAATATAGAAAAATATAAAAATCCACAGCTAATTTTGTGACCTAATCAATTACTAAAAATGATATATCACTGCAAATTGATAATAGTAGCCTCTTTGTCTAGTATTTGGAGAAATAACCAGTTTTTGATGGACAACAAAAAAAGATGTCACATTTATCTATATTTGTTATTCTTAAGTAATTCTATGAATTATAATTCCTAATATATTTAAATTTTTACAATATTTCCTTCATCGAGATGCCGATATGTACTTTTTAGCCTATAGTTCTTTAATTCCCAAAGATCATGTATCAGGGCATTGGTGATGTAGACAGTCACCAAACACATGCAGGAGCAAACCTGTGGAGGGGGAAGTCAGATATGTAATGCACTTCAATGAGGGAAAAGGCACACCCCTCTTGACCCATGGAAATCTTAGACACAAGTGCTAGAAAGAATTATAAGTTTGAGCCTGTTATATACTTTGGGGTAAGGGTTTAAGAAGTGAGACTTCATTCTCAATAGGAGCTTGTTAGAAATTGAGCAAAATTCTATTATGTCTGAGTTCACAAAACTTACCTGGAAGGATAGAAGACAAGAGGGGATAAAAGCCTAGTTTTCATAAAGAGGGGGAAATTCTCATGCTAGCTACAATGGAGGAATATTCTGGTTGTAATTTTACATTTGAATGATGTGTATGATGTGATCACTATGCAGATATGATTATGATCTAGTCTACTTTCTGTTAGGATCCATTGGGGTCATAGAGTGGCCTTGTGTGATGTTTTGTGATACGTCTGTTGAAATGTTCAACAGGAGAATACCAAGATCCCCCTGTGAACCTAGTTTATAGTAGTTTACCAGCTCCCTGATATCCTGGGTATCAGGAGATGTTTTCACTCCCAAAATAATACAGTCTCAATATATATGTGAAATTATTTATCTATCTTACCTATCTATCTATCTATCTATCTATCTATCTATCTATCTATCTATCTATCTATCTGCCTACCTATCCTATGAATCATACAGAGAATAGGGTTGCCAACATTTGTATAATCAAAAATTAGTCTTTAACTTTTGATTTTCCCAAAACTTAACCTAGAGCCTGCTGTAGACTAGAAGTCCCATTAGTAAAAATAGATAACAGATATTGTATGATGTATGTATCATATTGCAAAAMATATCCAAGAATGGTGAAAGATCACTTTTAAACTGTGATACTCAATTTACTGGAGAGACAAACTACTCATACCAAGATGATTATTATCACACAGTGTTTTAAGTGGCAGTTCCCAACACTGGAGCTCACCAACTAGCAACAGGAAGTAAGGATTAAATTATTACAGTACTAAAATATTCAGAACAGTTCATTTTATGCAGCATGATTTAATACTGCATCTTTTTGTTTTKATTTCTACATTATGAATGGTGCTATGTTGTGCTGTATGTGCTTAAAATTTGATAAACTTTAACTTTTTTAGTAAATTTGTGCATAGAGATGGTAGTATATTACAAAATATTCTTCTATACACAGTTTTTTTCCATTTATTACATACCTACATTTGTTTAATTTTTTGATATTTCCAGTCTATATGGTTTATCTGCAAGGTTTTTCAAATTGCTACAACTCTCATAAAAATTATTCACATATAAGTGGACCCCACACAATTCAAACTGGAGTAATAAATGGGTGTATGTATGAAGAATTCAACACTTATCTTAGTCCACTTATTTGTTCAAAAATAGATTTTTCTAAAAACGTGCATCAAACAAAATGAGAACACTCAAATATTCATTTATTATCTAATGTGGAAGTGCTTTTATTTAAATAAAAATATTGCTCTTAATACAGAGGTATTAAGAATTGTAAAGAAGATAAGCAACAAAATAGGGCTTAATTAAAATATGCTTTATTTTAATATTCATGAGGCATAATCAGTCTTTCTAGATGACTCTGACACCACTAATTGTGAACTCCTAATGACTTAAATTTATAAATGTGTCAGAAGACTTTGTCACTTAAATTAGCACAAAGTGTCATATTCATTTTATCTTTCTTAAGATTTTTGAGATATTGCTGGTTTATATCTAAGATATTAACTTGCATTTGGGGTAGGGCACAAAAATAAGTCTAGGGTCAAGTAATCTTTCTGATTGTGATTCTATTTGTGATTTTAAATATAATGTATTATTATTAATGTCATACTCATATTAGCTTTACCAGGATGCAGGAAGAAAACAGCATTCACTAGATGTGCTATCAATTTATATACTATGTATGTTATATATGACATCTTCTTATTTATGAATTCCCTCACTAATTTATATTTTTATAACTTTGAGAAATAATTTACATATCACATTTGACATTTTTGAAGTGTATTATGCAACATATTTTAGTATATTCATGAAACATTTCAACTATTACCACCATCTAATTTTAGAATGTTTTCACTCCAGAAGAATCTATGCAGTACTTCCCCATTATCCCAAGGCCTTGAAACCACTGATAAACTTTCTGTCTCTGTGGATTCATCAATTTTTGAAATTTCATTTTAACAGAATGATAAATCTTTTGTGACTGGTATATTTTACTTACCATAATATTTTAAATTTTTATGTTAAACCAAATGTTTATAGTTCATTCTCTTTTTAATGGCCAAATATTTCATTGTATGGTGATTCCACATTGTTTGTTCTTCAYGTCATGGACATATAAATTGTTCCTTGTTTTGACTCTAATGAATATGCCATAAACATTCATGTGCACATATGTGTATGGAAATGTATCTTCAATTCTTTGAGTATACATCCAGGAGTGGAATTGCTGTAACACTTGACAAGGCTATGGTAAAACATCCAAACTATCTTCTGAAGTAAATATACTACTTTACAGTTTCTCCACCAATGCATTAGAGTTCTAAATCCTCCACATCTGGCCATTCCTTATATGTTTTATCTTAACAGTTCCAGTTGCTATGAAGGGGCATCTCATGTTGTTTTCTTTTGCATTTTCTTAAAGACTAATGAGGGTTATCATCTTAAAATGTGCTTTCTGACTATGTGAATCTTTAGACCCTTAGCTTGAAAATTCAGTTATCTTTTTTTAATTTTGAGTTGTAAGAACTTTTTTTAATATACTTTGTATACAACTACATTATCAGATATTATTTGTAAATAGTTTCTTTAATTCTGTCAGTTGTCTTTTTTGTAATTTTGTCTTTTAATGCAAAAACAGTATTAATTTTGATAAAGACTAATTGATATGTTTTCTTATGTCACTTTTGCTTTCAGTGTCATCTTTAGGAAACTGTTCCCTAATCTAAAGTTATAAAGATTGCTAATACTCTATTTTCTTCAAGAAATTTTATACTTGAAACTCTTATATTTAAGGATAATCCATTTTTAATTAGCTAATTTTTGTGTGAAGTGTAAGGTAAGGGTCTAATATTATTTTTCTGAATGCTGATATTCAGACCCTTGAGAATTTCAGCATGCAGAAAAATAAAAATCTTTTTGTTGCTGTGACCAAAATACCTGAAAACAACAGCTTAGAGGAAGAAAAGTTTATTAGGATTCACAATTTCAAAATTTCAATCCATGATCAGTTACTCAATTGCTCTGGGCTTTTGCTGAGGTAGAACATAAAGGTGGAAATGCATGACAGAAGAAAGCTTCTCAGTTCATGGCAACTATGAAGCAGAAAAAATGAGTGAGGAGCTAGGAATAAAATATAACTCCCAAGGCCATCTCCAGTGACTGACTTCCCCAAGCCATGGCCTACATGCCTAGTTACCATTTAGTAGAATAGTCTGCCAAATTAGTAATCCAGCTAATGGACTAATCCATTGAGTGGGTTACACTACTCATAATCTAGCCATTTCAGCTCTGAATATTCCTGCATTGTCTCTTACATGAACTTTCAGGGTTGCCTGATCCAAACCATAAGAGAAGACTATTCCTTTCATATTCATTTGTCTTGTTACCTTTAACTCAGAATCAATCAAAAAATTAGGGTTTATATSTGAAATTTCAAATCTAT